CCCTCCTTGGGTTTCCGAGGCAGTATCACTACGGAAGTAGGATTGCCCAACCTTCCTTCCGAGGAGTGGCTGGTGGGTTTGAACCGCCAGGCTTCTGGTGAGCAGTCAAGTGCCTTAGGCACTATGCTACCAGAGCTCACTTGCTGGGTAAATGAATTATCAGTAACTGTGCTCTCATCCAACTTGATGGCAGTGAGTTTGTTTTTGGTGCTCTCACAGTGAAAATATAACCCTCACTTCTTACTTGAAGGAAGTCTTTCAGCTAAGGAACTAAAACATGCATCAAATATGTGTGTGGTTTGGAGATAAGAGTTCTAGAGGTAAAGCGTACTGTATGACTTTCTAACTGTAAGACTCTTTGCAAGTGACTTAATTGCTCTGGAAATCAGTTTCCTCATTTGTCTAACATGAATACTAACACTTCACAGGCTGTAATGAGACTAAGATGATTTAATGAATGAATTCTGTTAAGTACTAGTACGATATCTGGCACAGAAGAGGCCCTGAATAGTTTTTATTAAACTGTTTGTTAGAAGACAAACCACTGCATAGACATTAGTTCTTATCATTATATGCAGTGCAGTGGTTAAACGGGCAGGATCTTCAGTCAGACTGTTGTTGTTATTAAGTGCTGTTGAGTAGATTTTGACTAATAATTACCCCATGTGACAGAGTAGAAATGCCCATAAGGTCTTCCAGATTGTAATTTTTGCAAAGGCAGATAGCCAGGTCTTTCCATCACAGAGCCGCTGTGTAGGTGGATCAGAACCCCCAACCTTTCATTCAGTTAGCAGCCAAGCACTTAACCATTACACCACCAGGGCTCATTTCGGTCAGACTACAAATTGCTTTTGAGTTGATTCCAACTCAAAGCGACAGTGCTAGAGTTTAAGTCCTAGTAACACTTTTGCTATAACTCAGTTTCTTCATTTCTGAAATAAGGGTAAGTGTACCTATCAGAGGGTTTTGGAGAGAAAAAATGAGATTGCTTTAGCAGTGCTTGATTCATATTAAGTTTTAGCTTATTAAAGCTATTGCAGATTTTGAAATATTTTTATCTACATCTTGTTAAATTATCCCAGCCTCCCCATGAGGTTGGAGTGATTGTCCTCACCTTACTTACCCCACCTACACCTTACCAACTACAGCTCAGTGGCTCATTGGTTTGCCCCAGGTCTTACCGTTAGTAACTAGCAAAGCCAAGACTTCAGCACTGGCCTTTTCCCTACGAAGCCTGTACACACTGATTTCTACTACCTTCTCCATCAACCTGTCAACCCTCAAGATACTGGTTTCTTCACTGTGTTTGTCTGACATTCTTCCCCTTACAGGTCCCTATATGAGCAATGGCAAGAAGTTGTGGACAAGACAGAGAGTTCCTGGAGGAGTCTGGAGACTTATAACTATAACAAATACCATCGCATTGAGGAGGTGGGCATGAGGAGGGGGGTGTCACAATCTGCTTTTGGATGGAGGACGTATGGTTCATGGTTAATGTTATAGAGATGCTCAAATTGTGAAGTTGAGATTGGCCTGTGCACTGTTCAACAGATTCCCAAACATCCCTGCAAACTCTCGCTACCACTAAAGCTATAAAACCTGTTGTCATTGTTGTTATGTGCTATTGAGTTGGACCTGACTCATAGCGACCGCTCCTTGGGTTTCTGAGGCAATATCACTACGGAAGTAGATTGCCCAACTTTCCTTCTGAGGAGTGGCTGGTAAAACCTAGTGATAAGAAATGAAAAAGCAAATTAACAGCAACAGAAAGCATAAGAGGAAAAGAACACTCCAATAAGCCAGTATTGCTAATATGATCATGGTAAAAATTAATGCATAGTGCCTAAGGCACTTGACTGCTAACCAGAAGGCTGGCGGTTCAAATCCACCAGCCACTCCTTGGAAGGAAGGTTGGGCAATCCTACTTCTGTAGTGATACTGCCTCGGAAACCCAAGGAGAGGTCGCTATGAGTCGAGGCCGACTTGACGGCACATAACAACAACAACAGCAACAACTTGTTTATCAAGTTCCTAAGAGGTTTAAGCAGGACAGGGTGGATGTGTGTATGAGAGTGGGATGTGGATTAGAGAAGCTTTTTGAATGAATCATATTGAGCTGAAAATGAAGTAATTCTTGTAGTATGCAAGAGGTATAGGCAGCAATTCTTAACAGGTGAAAACTGTTTTTCAAAGAAATATTTGTTTTGCTATTAACTTTGGTGATTTTCAAAGATGGATATTGTGAAAAAATAGCTCATGTATGCATATGTATGTGTATAGATGCATACATGTATATAAACCAAAAAACCAAATTCACTGCCATTGAGTCAGACCGGACTCATAGCGACCCCTCCTTTGGTTTCCAAACAGTATCATTATGGAAGTAGATTTTCCAAGCTTCCTTCCGAGGAGTGGCTGTTGGGTTTGAACTGCCAGCCTTCTGGTTAGCAGTCAAATGCCTTAGGCACTACACCACCAGAGCTCCTATACATACACACACATATATATCTTGACATTCTTATGCAAATAATGTATACATTTCTAAAAATAAAATTGCTGGGTCAAAGGATATGCACATTTTAATTTTGCATTATAAATGAATAAGTTGTCCTCCAAACATTTTTACTAATATATACTCTCACCATTAGAGAATATGGTAACATTTTTCCAGGCTTTTTTTCAAAGAGTATGAAAAAACAAACTTTCTTCTGTAACAATTACCTCAAATTACTAAAGATTCCAGATTTTGAACAAAGTATGACCTGCAGGAAGCTTAGGCCCTTGTATTGAAGATGAGTTCATACAGGGCATGACCACTTGCTTGTTGGGTGACTTCAACCCAAACATTTAACCTCTTTGATCCTCAGTTTTCTCGTCTGTGACACAGGGGTGGCAGTGCTTATGTGGCAGCATTGTTGTGAGACTTAAATGAAGTGAAGTACATAAAGCACCAACTGTTACTGATTAAGTAAGAAACAAATAGCTGCCACTGCTGCTTCCTGGTATTTGTAGCTTCCCCAAAACTCAAGGCACCTACATTTGACCCAGTTCCCTCACAGAAGGACACATGATACACATGTGATGGGTTATTACTATCATCAGTTGGCAGAACTAAACTGAAAATACTCCCACTATATATTATTATGAGGAGCTCTGTTAGTGTAGTGCCTAAGGCATTTGACTACTAACCAGAAGGTTGGTGGTTCAAACCTATCAGCTCCTCCACAGAGGGGAGATGACACAATCTACTTCCATAAGGATTTTCCCACGTTGGAAACCCAATGGGGGTTGCTATGAGCTGGAACTGACTTGCTGTCAGTGGGTTTGGTTTGGTTTTATATATATTACTATTGTTATGATAATGAATTTTGCATATAGATATCCCATGTGAAGATGAATATCAACCAAGATGCAAAAATTTTGAAATATTAAATTATTATTCCCCATTAATTTTTATTATTTACCATAACTATTGTTATTCAGAAATAGTTACCATAACTATTGTTATTCAGCTCTAAAAATTGAATGTGGAGGATATTTTCTGACATGTTGATGCCTTAGTCTTAATATTTCTTATGGTTGTGAATTCTCTTATTTCATTCCTTACAGAACCCCAAGTCACATATATATATGTAAAACACCCTTCATTTCTAACCATAGTATAAGACTTGTAATTAAATCAGCATCTATTCAGGTCTACTCAGTTGAGTTAAACTGATAAATTTGAGCTTTATTTAGAAATTTCTATTGGCATGTTGTGTGAAGGGCATGTTTAACTCTTCTTTAATCTTGGAACCATGGATATTATTAGCAAAGCATATTATTGGGACCATGAAGACTTTAGAAGATCCTGCAAAATAAGCTTGACCTGAAATATCTGGCATGACTTGGTGCATCAAGGAAGCTAAATTTGGTGACCATTTTGAAGGAGTTTCTGTTGTACAATATTTCTGAAGTGTTTTTTATGGATTATTGAAATTTTTAATTAATTATAACTGTATGTAACTCTTCAGTTGCAATAATGAAGGATTCTATGGGCAAAGGATTCAATGACAAAGTCAATTATTATAATGAAATGTGCAAAAGCCTGGAGTTAGAAAACCGAAAGTGAAGAACACGCTTGGCATTTCTCAAGCTGAAAGAACTGAGGAAAAAAATTTAAGCCTTGAACTGCAATATTGAAAGATTCCATGGGCAATACATTGAATGTTGTAGGAAACATCAAAAGAAGATGGATGGAATACACGGAGTGACTATACCGAAAAGAATTGGTAGATGATCCTCCATTTCAGGAGATGGCATATGATCAAGAACCAGTGGTACTGAAGGAAGAAGTCAAAGCTCAACTAAAGGAATTGCTGAAAAACAAGGCTCCGGAAATTGATGGAATAGTCATTGAGATGTTTCAACAAATGGATGCTGCACTGGAGGCTCTCACTCCGTTATGCCAAGAAATTTGGAAGACAGCTACCTGGCCAACTGACTGGAAGAGATCCATATTTGTACCCATTCCAGAGAAAGATGATCCCACAGAATGTGGAAATTATCAAACAATATCATTGATATCACATGAAAGTAAGATCTTTAAAAAAAAACTCACTGCTCTCAAGTCGGATCTGACTCACAGAGACTCCTCCTTGGGTTTCCAAGGCAGTATCGCTACAGAAATAGATTGGCCAACCTTTCTTTCGAGGAGTGGCTGGTGGGTTTGAACCACCAGCCCTCTGGTTAGCAGTCAAATGCCTTAGACACTACACTATCAAAGCTCCCAAGTAAAATCTTACTGAAGATAATACAAAAATGGTGGCAGCAGCATATTGACAGAGACCTTCCAGAAATGAAACTGGATTCAGAAGGGGACGTGGAATGAGGGATATGATAGCTGATGTCGATGGACCTTGGCTGAAAGCAAAGAATACCAGAAAGATGTTTACTTGGGTTTTATTGACTATGCAAAAGCATTTGATTGTGTGGATCATAACAAATTTGGATAACATTGGGAAGAATTGGAATTCCAGAACACTTGACTGTGCTCATCAGGAACCTGTCATTTGAAAAGAACCAGGGGATACTGCATGGTTTGAAAAGAACCAGGGGATACTGCATGGTTTAAAATCAGGAAGGGAGTGCAGCAGGGTTGTATCCTTTCACCATACTTATTCAGTCTGTATGCTGAGCAAATGATCTGAGAAGCTGGACTATATGAAGAAGAACATGGCATCAAGATTGGAGGAAGCCTTATTGACAACCTGAGATATGCAGACAACACAACTTTGCTTGCTGAAAGTGAGGATGACTTGGAGCACTAACTGATGAAGATCAAAGTCTACAGTCTTCAGTATAGATTACACCTCAACATAAAGAAAACCAAGATCCTCACAACTGGACCAAAAAACAATATTGAAGTTGTCAAAGATTTCATTTCTCTTGGACTTACAATCAATGCAGCAGTCAAGAAATCAGATGACATATTGCATTGGGAAATCTGCTATAAAAGACATCTTTAAAGCATTAAAGAGCAAAGATGTCACTTTGAAGACTAAGGTGCACCTGATCCAAGCCATGGTATTTTCAATAACCTCATATGCTTGTGAAAGCTGGACAGTGAATAAAGAAGACCATAGAAGAATTAACACACTTGAACTGTGGTGTTCGTGAAGAATATTGAATGGACCATGAAGTGCTAGAAGAACAAACAAATCCGTCTTGGAGAAAGTACAGCCAGAATTCTCCATAGAAGCAAGAATGGCCAGACTTCATCTCTCATACTTATGTCGTGTTATTAGGAGGAACCAATCCTGGAGAAGGATATCATGCTTGGTAAAGTAGAGGATCAGTGAAAAGGGTGAAGACGTTCAACAAGATGGATCGACACGGTGGCTGCAGTCGTGAGTCTAAGCATGGCAATGATTGTGAGGATAGTGCGGGACCGGGCAGTGTTTTGTTCTGCTGTGCGCAGGGTCTCTCTGAGTCTGAACTGATTCAATTGCCCCTAATAACAGCAACATATATATTTAGAGTTAAACAGAGTATCCTAAAATTGGTGGCACAGTAGATCTTTAAAGAAAGAGGGGGAGGGTAATAATCCTTTTGTTTTGTTTTGTTTTGTTTACCACAGAGATGTTGTAATCCAGAGCAGAGTACAGCATTAAATATTTTATGAGCTTATTGATACCCACACTTCTTCCTGGCTATTTCAGATCTATCTGTGGATGAACCAGATAAGTGAGAAGTATAAGGATGTGGTGACACAGCATTTCCTAGGAATGACATATGAGAACCGGACCATGTATTATTTGAAGGTGAGTGAGAAGTTTACCTGACTGGGTAGGTCTTTCCTTCCCAATTCAAAGATATTTACTTACTATCCAGGGCTTCTGTTAATTTCCTAGGGGTGCTATGATAAAACACCACACACTGGATGGCTTAAAGCATGTATTGTCTCCCAGTTCTGGACCAGTGATTTTCAATCCTGGTTACACGTTAAAATCATTGGAGGAAGTCTCAGAAATACTGATGCCTGTGCTTTCCTCACAAAGATCCTGATTTAATTGATCTGAGATGAAACTCAAGCAACATATGCTTTGAAAGTGCTCTAACTCAAAAAAACCAAACTCACTGCCGTGGAGACTATTCAACTCATAGCGACTTCTCCTTGGATTTCCAAGGCAGTATCTCTACGGAAGTAGATTACCCAGTCTTCCTTCCATGAAGTGGCTGTGGTTTTGAACTGCCATCCTTCTGGTTAGCAATCAAATGCCTTAGGCACTACACCTTTTGAAAGTGCTCTAGGTGATCCTAATGTGCAGCCACTTTTGACAAGCACTATATCAAGGTAAGGGAGGTCTGGTGCCGTAGTGCCTAAGCATTTGACTGCTAAACAGAAGGTTCAAACCCACCAGCCACTCCTCAGAAGAAGGTTGGGCAATCTACTTCTGTAGTGATGCTGCCTCGGAAACCCAAGGAGGGGGCTCTGTGAGTCGGATCCGACTCCATGGTAGTGCATTGTGTTTGTTGCATTATATCAAGGTAATGGCTCTCAAAGTGTGGTCCCAGAACCAGCAGCATCATCACCAACTGGAAAGTTAGAAATGTACATTCTCAGGTACCACCATAGATCTACTGAATCAGGAATCTAGATTGTTTAACAAGCCATCCTCTATGTGATTTTGATGTACACTCAAGTTTTAGGACTACTTTGCATTTCTAACAAGTTCCTACTGGTCCAAGACTGTCTCACAGAACCAAGGCTAATGTGGCATGAAAAAGTAAATTACTCAGTCAACTGCTCTCTTACTACTTACTGTAATCATGTCAATTTACAAAGCACACCCTTAACTTTCAGAGTTGTCTACAATTACAAACAAATCTATTGGATCTGAAATAGAATTTACCCAGGAATGGATTGATTGATATATTAATCACGGGGCATCTACTTGCCTCACTTTGATAAGCCATCAAACTGTGAGCTGATTCAGCAAAAGACATCTGAATATCCTCTGCCTAGGGCATGTTATAAAGAATAAACTGAGTATACAATAAGGAAGCGATAAAAAGAAACATAATTTATACATACTCATAAAAGTAATAAATATGAGACAAGATTGGTTAGGATTTGTGCTGACAGCTTTGAAAGTGGGTGAGGCAGAAAGGAGAAAGTTCCCTAGAACCAGTCTTGTGTTTAGCACAGTAAGTAAGTTTCACTGATAGAGAGAAGAGCCTTCATCAGATCAGTTTTCCATGGCTTTCAATGAATAGCACTGGACCAAGTCATATAGAAATCCAAAATAGATATGACTGTAATGAACATGGAGAGTGTTCACAGTTCCTTCTTCAGCAAAGTTGTTGTTGTTGTTGTCAAGTGCCGTCGA